CAAAATCCTAGCGGGAAAAATGTGTCACTACCTAATATCTTTCTGATGTTTTAATTTCAAAAGTACCTTCAGTACATTTGGCCCCAATTTATGTTCCAGTAATATTTGTGTTTATTTGCTCTTTTGAAATAATAAGAAATAGAGATATTTTGTAGCAATTCAGGATTGATTTATCTTTGAGTTCTTACTGTACAGCAGATAATGGTCACCTCTACCAAGGCCAAAACATTGTGTTAAAAATTATATTTTGAAAGTAGTGAGTTTTATTTGACTTTGAATAAATTTGATCAAAAATAATGCATGTTTAATGTGTTTTAATTAAAACATATTTTGCTCTAGTGATTGTTATAGTCCTATTTAGTAGTAGTCAGTTACCTAGTGTTATGGACCTCATTGTATCAAAGAATAATTTTTAGGTAAAATATATTCTGGTATTTATGGGCAATATATGATATGTTAGAGATAATGTATATTCCAGGGGAATATTGGTAATTCAATATAAAAATCCAAATTTAGATGTAAATTTATAGTTAATTAAACAATGATTTTTTATAAAGTGATTAATCCTGTAATCTTCCCAAGAATGCTATTTGATATTTAAAATAATTCAAGTTCCTTCCTTGACAAGTAGAATAAGCAGCTCTACCTATCAACAAAATGATTTCACTCATTTAACATATTCATTCCTATTATTGCCAATTCAGGATGCATATACAATTATACTGCTGCTGCCAGTAGGCATATATTTAAATGAGACATCTCAGTATTTTCTGTTTAAATATTTATGATAATAAGTGCATGCTTGAGAATCAAAATAAATTTAACTATTTTCAGATATTTTGTTTCTCTTGTGAATAATTCAGGTACTTTAAAGTTTTCATTTGGTAAGTTTTTGTAAAGGTTAAATGACATAAGAAGCCTTTTTTATTTTATCACCTCCATAAAAGCTATGGGATTTTGCTACATAATTGAAACTTCCCACTGCTCAGAGTAACATTTTTTCTTTTCTTGTTATGTCATTTTTTAATAAGTAGAATGTCTACTCAAACCAACAAACACACATATAGACACAACATAAATCCACTAGCTTTATTTGTAATTTGAAGGTTTAAAATTTGAGGGCAGGCCACATGCATACAAATACCTCCTCTGATTCTCTTCTCTCTCCTTCACAATTGGATGCCTGATTTGCTCTCATAAGAGCCATATCGAATAAGGCCTCTGAAAGACAGACATACTGGGAGGAGCTACAGAATAACATCAGGTCCCACTGGTTTTAATACGGACTATTGCTCAGATTAGCCACCTGCCAATTGATGAACTTTTTGGAAAGAGGTGGTGGAAACAGAGAGAGCATCTGTAGAGGCCAGAGTTCAAGCATCAGAGTTGAAATCCCTGGGAAGCCAAGGAAATAGCCTGAAGACAAGGGCCACTAATGATGTGTTAGTGCAAGGAGAGTTTGACTCTAACAATGAACTTCCTCTGTTTCATATTTTGCATCCAGCTGCTACGATCATGGGACTTGCCCAGACCTAGGGGGAAAAAAGTGTGCATTGAGTTTGTATGTATCTGGACCACATATCCTTAGATTAGAGAATATTGCAAAAATTTTTTTTTAAATGCTACAATTTCCATTTATTCTTCCACTAACCAAAGTAGAGATTCTGCTGGCTTCATTTTACAAATATTTGATCAAAATATGTGTTAATGAAATATTATCTAATGTGACACATTTAATATAAACATGGAAACCTAAAAATGAATAACTTAATACGAAGGCAAGAGAAAAGTTAGACATGGGACATTTTTAAGTGGAGCACCTACAATAACCAATGGTTGGGCCCATGTTAAATAATTTTCTAACTCAAAATTACATATGTAACATATTTAAATTTATATATATATATATGCATATATAAAAATATAAAAGCAGTAAATATTCCTTTCTTGAATATTTCTAATAGCACAGGGTGAACATTTCAGGGTCATACTTATTTTTAGAAGGATATTTTATTTCTATCATTCCATAGCAATCTGGGTTTCAATACATAAGAATTCTAATTTGTATCCTCAAGATATTATGAAAAGGTCTCAGAAACCTAGAAGTTACTGATGTGAAAAAAAAAAAAAATCTAAGCACCTGGGTGTGGTGGTGCAGGCCTGTAATCCCAGCTACTCAGGAAACTGAAGCAGGAGGCTCACAAGTTCAAGGGTATGTGTGCAATTTATTGAGATCCTGTCTCAAAATTTAAAAAAAATAAGAGCTGTGGATGTAGTTCAGCGATAGAACACCCCTAGTTCAATCCCTATTATACTCAAGCAAATATAGGTGATTACTATAAAAAAGAAATAAATTCACTATGAATGTTCATATTTATGGAATGGACTTCATTTATAGTGTCTCACAGTTAAATTTTCTGTGAGACACTATAAATGTAAAGCATGATCGCAGGTCTAAGATTTGGTAGTTGTATGATTCCTCGATAAACTACTTAAAGGTTGACTTTCCATTGTCTCATCAACAAACTTGATACCAGTTGACTGAAGTTTGTCATGATAAATATCATAATCTAGTAAAGACTCCCAAGACAGTGACTGGCCTAAGCGAGGGTCACCATTGCACATTACTGTCATCCAATTCTGACACACCAGCTTCAACTGCTTTACATCTTTAGGGAGGGATAATGCACAGGAGCCTGAAACAGATAAACAAACCTACTGAATATAACTGCAAATATAACCCTGAATTTTTGGTAGGAAGCTGGAGAAATTTTAAGTAATTGAAAAAAGGGAAGGTCTTTTTGAGTGTATTTGGGATGAGGACTGCAGGAAATAAGGACTGAAATTATAGTTTCAAAGGTGGAAAGACTTGGTGGTAAAGTGGAGGACTAATAACAAAGACATAAGCTAAAATTGCTATTTTCATTCTGTATTTAGGTCAGAATTTTAACTATTACTGGGAATCCAAATAATGTTGAATATTAAATCCAGATACAGATAGTCTGAAAGGGACTATCCATTCTTTTGGAAGTAGTGAAAAGGAAAATATGACATAAAAACTTTTTACAGTTTTTCAGGTTTCACTGAAATAGTTCTCCTGAGCCTACCCCCATGGAGATAATCCTGTGACCATAGACACCATATTCAAAATTAATAAAAGCTTTTATTGCCAAATATATTTTTGGTCTCAGTAACTTGTACAATACAAAGTACCTATTAGTTGCTCAAAGAATATTCTGGATCCAAACTAATTATAGATTGGATGTTATAGATTTGTCATCTCTGTCCCCTTTGAAAGGCTGTCTTCTTGGTTATCTTGTCATCAGTAAACCATCTTCAGAGACAAGAGCAACTCACTGCACAGGTCTAAGAGCTTTCACAAATACTACCCTAATCTTGGTATTATTTTACCTGGCACTACCATGAGGAATCCCATGAGGTCATTCCTCTTGAATTACAGTCAAGACTAACAAAATGAAAACCAGCCTTTAAATATATTGTACTTGACTTCCAAGGCAACTCCATAATGTTAATATTATTCTTGACTTCTGCTTCAATATAACTGCTGGCTTTCTTTTTTAGTATTTTTTCATATTATGGGTATTTTAATCTGAAAGGAATGCAGGGATTTGAAGAAAATCATCTAATTGTCTGATGTGAAGGATAAGGGTTGCCTTATCCATAAGGTAGAGCCATAAGGTTCAGATGAAACCAGGCAGTTCACAAAGCTAAACATTAGTGTTTGGCAGGATTTTGTTGTTGTTAGTTGTGGTGGTGATGTTCTTCCCCTATTCAGGCCTTAATAGGAAACACTGTGCAATTTAAGATATTTTCTGTGAATTTCAGCTGATGGCTTTGGCTTCATCTCAGTCTCTCACCCCAGAACACTCCATGCCTCCATCTTATTATTAGTGCTCTTCCTTTGTACATTCCAATGGATCTTCTAGGCCTAGTTATCATCTTCCTAGCCAGAGGCAACTGGCCATATTGTAATAGCTAGGAGAAGTATTTTGCACACACACAAAAATACACATGGAGAAACTCTCACACACCTATCCTAACAGGTAGCTGTTTGAGTATTGCTCTATTTCATCATCTTTCTAATATTCACCCACATAAAATGGAGATCATGAAGTAATTTTAGCTTACTTATTGGAAAGTAGGGAGAGGCAAGAGGAAAGGTTTGTTTAGTGAAAGCCTGATGGTACAAAAACTACCCTCAATGCACAGATATATGCATTATGGGGTCATGGTATTCAGGTTATGTGGAATGAAAAAATCCTAAAACTAATTCTTTCTGAGGAGGATTGTGTACTGTTTCTTGCTAAGATAACTAGAAACTAAGAGAATTGCATGGATAATTTTTGGTGATTTATTGTGAGTGTCTGATGTTACTTGAAAGCAAGGAAGCAAACTTGATGCACTCTGAGGCTACCTATTATAATTTAGTTATGTCTTCAACTTTAAAAAGAATTTTACAGCTAGGTTTATATGTTAATAATATTTTTTTAAAAAAGAAGGTAAATCAGCCATGATGCTTGAAACCAAATTCATATTGGGTGGAATTTATAATAGGCTAGATAATATTGCCTCCGAGAGGAACAATGTTTTAATTTCTCCTTTTCTAAAGGCTTCTGAACTATTAATCAATGAGATCTTTACATACAACATATACAACATGCAATATCCCCAAATGCCAGAACAAAGTTCCATTTCATTCAGTATCTTACTCAGATAGGCCCATCCCTTGAAATGGCCCAGATCTGCGAGCATAAGGGAGAAGAAAAACACAAAACAAAACATTTTACTCCCACTCCTGTCTTCACATAACATGTTTTAAGTTAAATTGGCTAAAAGCTGTGAGTGAACAATTTCTGGATTTAGTTTAACTAATTTAACTGTCTAAAATGTTTATATTCATTTTCCCCTAGGAAATATTTGCAACTCAGTGGAACATAAGTATTAATTCATTTTTTTCTTTTTATGTTTTATTTCTTTAGATTTTTTATTCCATTTGCATAACATTCTGGGGAGTAAGAAGCATGAAACTTCTTGCCACTGGTCCTGGGAAATAACCTAAGTGTACACAGCATTCTTGTTTTAATCAATTTTTCATAGCTACAACATATGTTCACTGAATATGGAAATGCAATTATCTTATACAATGCTTATAGGGATGATTTCTCTAATGAAAAGTAAATGTGCTTACTTATTCTTGCTTTTTACATTTATTATTTTCTATTAAAGTCAATTAACAATTACTTTCCTTTTGCTCTATCATTGAAAAGCAAATGATTTCAAATATACTGATGTTATATTTACTGGTACTATCTATGACAATGCATATAAGAAGAAGGGAGGAAATTTACCAAAGGTAAAGAGGAACGAATATTGAATTTTTATTGATCTATTGTTGGATGCTCTTTTTTTTTTTGATGTTTGGTAAAATTATGCTTAAATTCAGATTTGTAGCCAAAAAGACATACTACAATAGTTGTCTGCCTAAGACTGCATTTGCCTTTGTAAACTATGTAATGCCAAGTGTCATGATGCAGAAAAACATCATGGAAATGAAAATGAATAAATCTGACAGAATTGGTTTGTTCAGCAGACTAATTTGTGATACATATGTCTAATATGTTTGCTCAATTTTTTGGAAGATTGAGGAGTATGCAGTAATTCTATGTTATTAAAAATTGTCAAAATAGTGTTAATAAAATTCTCTAAGTAAAACTACCCAAGGTATTGTGTGTATGTTGATTATTGGGAATGCAAAAATTGCTAAGCATTTCACTAAGTGGGAATTGACAGACACATGCAGAATGAGGCTTAGAGAAAAAAAAGATTGAAAAAATGTGGGGAAAAAAAGTATTTTCTTCTTCCAATACTTTTTAGATTTCAAGTTACAATTTAAATAGTAAAAGTAACAAGTACTAAACTGAAAAAAAAAATAATGTCTTTCACTGAGCTTTGATTGTATTGATTACTGGATTAAGGAGATGATCAGTTGGTTGGCCTCATTTAATAAATACATTATCAAACAATGAACAGAAAATAATAAGTATGGAATTATTAAAAGAATCAGACTGCAGGTGTCTATGCAGGCTCATGGTGCAGGACTGATGCATATTAAATTGTCAAATTGGAATAGCAATAAAAGATTAAATTTTGCATGATGGAAAAATTACCAAATTATATCTCAAGCATCAGAAGTAGGGTTTGGCTTTACTTCATTCATCTTTTTTATACTTCTTAATTAAACACAGAGTTGGAGCAAATACTTAAGCCCATAACTAATATTAAATCCTACTTTGGTTCATTACTAACAATTCTTGCTGGACTTTACATTTATAGAATCACATTGCAGCAGGGAGCCCTCTACTGGCTCGAAATTACTGAATAAAAAATTGTCAAGACCCAGATTCTATATTCTAAAGACATTTCAGCTAATAAGTAGTGTAATTCACTAATGACAAAGAAGAGAGACTTTTCACAAATCTTCAAATAAAATTTTAGCATGTCAGGAAAGTTTAATGGTTGCCCCAGAAGTGATGCGTAAATATGTATATATGCTTGATATATGGGCTTTATAGGAGTAATCTAAAAATAGGTTTAATGATGGAAATAAATAATTTAAAAGATCCTTTTCCAGTTTTCTTTGAGTAAGATCAAACTTATCCACGTTTTCTTTTTTCTCTCTTGCCTTTATTCACTATGACTGTGAATAGTCTTCTTTTAGAAATGCAGATATTTTCAAGCCACAGATTTTCCAGGCCTGTGAAAGTAGATGTGGTCCCCAGATAAATAGTGTCCCTATGGTCTCTGTGCACTTTATTCTTCACCTTCAGCCCTGCTAATTTTCCAGCCTAGTATTCTCTTTCAGAGCTCTTAACACATGATGACAGATAATATAACTATTAGTAATGTTGTAAATTGATCTTGAGTGATACCATGTAATTTATGTTTACTGTTGACTGGAAGAATTTTAATTTTTCCTCCCTTTTTCTCTCAAGAGAGAAAAGCATTAAAAATAGGGCCCATGACTAACCTGCCACTTCTAATAGAGAGATGCAAATAGCGTATGCAAATGAGGACAGTTTTGCTAATATACATAAAGATGGGAAGGAACATTTACTTATTGAGTAGTAGTATATTAGCAATGTTTATCTAATTTAGCGTCTAAAATCTTGCTAATTAGGTGCTGTTAATACCATTTTGCAGAAGAGAATTCTGAATCTGAAATAGGTTAAATAACTTAAATACAATAAATGGCCATTTTTTTAAACTCTCTGAATTCTGAATTCAAAGTTCATGGTATATCTATGTTTCATGTTATCAGATAGCCAGAGCAAAAATCTTTATAATTGTGGTTTCAGGGTTTTCTGTTCAGAATATTTCACATTTAATTTGATGTTCAAAGTACAAAATAAAGTTTGAAGGATAAATATTTTGGTTCTAGGATTAGTTAATAAAGTGAGTTCTGCACTTCTAAACTTCCTACTTAAGAATGGTAATGCCCTAGTTTATTAATAGGCTTGGCATATGTATGTGAAAAAGCCATCCCTATACTTGGTTTGTCAATTTTCTCTAGAATTATTCCCATTTATATGTCATTGACTTCACTACCATCTCATTTCTTCTAATCATCTTTGTTAAACTTAGTTAAATCATCTCTGGGACATGATATTCTACAGTATGTCAGTCCATAACTGTGTATCAGATGTTCAATTAATGACCAAAATATATGAATTTCCTCCTTATATTTAACATTATCAGTTTGCATTACTGTTTACTAGAGGTTTCCAAATTTCACTTTACTAGTGACAAATAATTTAATGGTTAATAAGGAACTGCAGTAGGACCACTGAGTGACAATCTTTAAGGTATGGTACATACATGTTAGTGTATAGAATATGATTTACTAGAAAGCAGTGGTAGTAATTAAATGGGCCCCCTTTTTTATGCCTCCCTTTATTTTCTCAAACTCATAGCCTGCACAATCCCTCCTTTTGAGAGACAGTACACAGAATGCATTTTAACTCACTGGTAAAGTGATGCTAGTTGTGACACTCAGCCCCTAAGGACAGCTAGCTCCTTCAGGAAAGGCAACAGATGTTAAAAGATCATTTAATCATGGCCCCAGCCATCACTCAAAACATTAGAAAGTTTTGCTTAAGCCTGTACAGTAGTCTACATGATGCAAAAAGTCACCAGACTACAAGTTTGCATTGATGACCACCCCCCATTAAAATGCATATTTAATCAATTAGGTATTGAATTTTTCTCTAAGAAAATTTATGCTAAACATATAACTTGTTTAGTATTGAGGATCACAATATTTTTGTTCTGTAATATAAAAACAAAATTTTGGTGTATAACAGTGTGATGACAAGAGTGGTATTCTAAATTAAGAAACCAATGCCAGAGAAATTCTTTCAAATTATTTCTGTTAGACATATAATTAGTAGTCATGTTCTGCATACATAAAATATTTTTAATGCTGAAATAACATCTTAAAAACATCACTGAAAAGTTATTGGGCATGGAAGTGACTAAGGAATCAATTAAAGCAGTGAGTATGTATCAAAAATAATTATTCTGAGTATGTTATTTTTAATATTCTGGATTCTAGATTATCAGTGTGAGGTTTTTAAATTTGATCATATGGTTTGATTATATTTTGAAATATTTTTATTTTTGGAAGAATTTTGAACATAATTTAAATAATCATTATATTGACAAATATTATGTAAGCTGTTTATATGTATCCTAGAGACAGGAAAATTGTTTCATATTCTTTAGCACTAATAGACATGTCTATGTTAAAGTGTACTTGTGATGTCTTATATTCTAAATATATTGATTTAACAAATATAAAAAAAGAATTAGTGCCTAATAAAACCTTTATTAATAAAAATTTTACTAATAAAATATTAATAATAACTTATTGAAACCCTTGAAAGATAATGTTTTTGATCATTGATCAGCTTTGAGTATCTATTTAAAGCTCATCATGGTGGCTGGGATTATAATCCCAGCCACTCAAGAGGCTAAAGAAGAAGGATCAAAATTCCAGGTCAATTTCAGGCATTTGGTAAGGCCCTCTTTCAAAAAATAAAAAGGGATGAGTCTGTGTTGCCGCAATAGAGGGCCTCTGTATTTAATTCTCAGTGCTAAGAAAGAAAGAAAGAGAGATAAGGGAAGGGGGAAGGGAAGGAGGGAGAGAGGAAAGAGTAAAAAAAAACATTTAGTTTGACTAAGACATTATGATGCCCTCAGTGTTACGATATTTAATTACTCAAAAGCTTCCTTTTGAGCTTGTAATTGTTGATCTTCCATCTGAAATTTAATTTCTCACTATATAAGAAACTACTCTTTTTTCAATTTCTTTAAAATACAAATTTATGCAATATACATGGGGTCATTTTTGAGCAGTTTACAATATTTTTCCCAGAAAGAAATGACGTAATTGGCAATATGAATATAGTAAATAAGTCCTAAAGACAGGTTTTTGTGTGGTTGTGAAAAACTAATATACTAATTGTATTTATATTTTCACATCAATTACTAGCTATCTGACTCTGATCATAGATAGAAAGTTGCTGAGAAGTCTTTAGAACTCAAGCCTCAGAACCCAGTCTGGTTGTCTGTTATCTTGATATCTGTAATGGAAAAATGGAAGCCCTAAATCAGATGATGCCCACAGTCTCTTACAACTCAGATGATCCTATGAAAGGTAAATCCAAATTATTTCTGTATCTTAAGATTCTTTTAAAACTATATTTCTTATCAAATTCAGACTTTTCAATAATTTAAATTACATCAGTAATAATGAGGTTTTTCCAATATGTTCATTAGAAGCAATTCAATGGAGACAATTAGAAAAAAAAACATCTGCCAACTAGGGAATGATGATACAAAAATTATAATTTCCTTCATCCATTTAAGAATCTTATGTGTGCTTATTATGGCTACCACGTTTTAACTTACTAGTTGATAAATTACTTCTTTGGCCTTCTTTTCACTGTTTAGGAGTAAAACTTAAATAAGTCAAAATCTTAGGTAGTTCCTTAATAAGCATTTCCTCTGGTATTACAAGCAAACAACTGCTCAATGCATATCTCAACTGGAAATCTTGAGAACACAGACTGTGCAAACAACTCAGGAGATTCAGGTCATCTGATACATGTGATGTGAGTACACTGTGCAGCAGCAGGGAAGGTCACAGAACACAAGGTAAATCACTTGCTTTATCAGGATAACATTCAGGTTTTAATTTGATTATTAATATGAATGATAAATAACATTTAAAGAACTAGTAAAATTATTCAGAAATGTAAACTGTCAACTTAAAAATACAACAAGGAGTTGCTTTTTCTATTCTTACCTCTCTGTGCTGGAATATAAGACAAGCCAAGATCATGTATAAAAATTAGCTTTACTTAGGTATCTCGATGATTAAAAGTCACGGACATATCAATATGTCCCCATGGAACTCTAGAATGGTATAGAAGGTGGAAAGCATCATAGATTTTGCTAATAGGAGAGAGGATGTCATCCCTGACATTTATTGGCAGATTTAAATTCAACCAGCAGTGATTATAGTATAAAGTTAAGTTTTTCTTCTAGCTCTCCAATGATATGGAGCCTTTGAGTTTTTTATAAAACGAGATCTTATTTTCTCAAGTGTTTG